TTTGTAAATAATCTTGCCAAGAATGCTCAGTGTTACTCTCTATAAATTGTTCAGGGTTATGCACTAAATACTGAACACCAACACTGCGCACATAAAAATTATTATTGGGATTGCCATAAAGTTGATGCGATAAAGCTCTAAAAAAGCAATCACCACCTCCTCCAACATCAACTGCAGTTCTGCCTAAGTAAAACAATCTTGTTTCTAATAGAGATGAAGAATTCACACGTGATGAACTACACAAGAGATTACAAGTCTGTTCTGAGGGCCCTGGATATAATTCTGCTAGATAAATGATAAGTTTTAACATGGAGCTGCCTTAATTTTTAGTAAATATTGTTTTCAGTATAAATACAAAACGAAGGTGACTTTTTATGCTTCAGTGTCCTCAGTTGAAAAACAAACAAATGAAGCTTCCGTCCAATAAAATACTCCTTCGGGAAAACCGTGAATTTTGATCTTCTGCATTGGTCAAAGAAGTGATTACGAGCATATTTGCACAGCATAACCTTCAACATAGATGATGGAGGCACATAATTCTTAATGTATAATTTGACCACATTTCTTGTCTTTCTCCTCTTAAAAAGTCTAGTCACNTGATAGCATCAGCCCATGTTCCCTCATTTGACATTCTTTGTAAATAATCTTGCCAAGAATGCTCAGTGTTGCTCTCTATAAATTGTTCAGGGTTATGCACTAAATACTGAACACCAACACTGCGCACATAAAAATGATTATTGGGATTGCCATAAAGTTGATGCGATACAGCTCTAAAAAAGCAATCACCACCTCCTCCAACATCAACTGCAGGTTCTGCCTAAGTAAAACAATCTTGTTTCTAATAGAGATGAAGAATTCATACGTGATGAACTATACAAGAGGTTACAAGTCTGTTCTGAAGGCCCTGGATATAATTCTGCTAGATAAATGATAAGTTTTAACGTGGAGCTGCCTTAATTTTTAGTAAATATTGTTTTCAGTATAAATACAAAATGAAGGTGACTTTTTATGCTTCAGTGTCCTCAGTCGAAAAACAACCAAATGAAGCTTCCATCCAATAAAATACTTCTTCGGGAAAACCGTGAATTTTGATCTTCTGCATTGGTCAAAGAAGTGATTAAGAGCATATTTGCACAGCATAACCTTAAACATAGATGATGGAGGCACATAATTCTTAATGTATAATTTGACCACATTTCTTGTCTTTCTCCTCTTAAAAAGTCTAGTCACCACACTGAAAGAAATTCTAGAGGGCTCTCTTCC